AACAAACCACTGAAGTGATTGAGAGCACTTATGCATGTGTATTGCATCTGCAAGATGTATTCGTTAAGTGCTTGCACATTTTTCACTATATTTTGCTGAATTTCCAGCAACTTATCAAAACTCTTTTAAGCATCATAAAACTCGAACAATTCATGGCGTAGAGAGAATCTGGCTGAAGTGATTCGATAATGGAAATAAATTCACAAATTGCAACTTCAAATCTTCAAACGCTTTCTTCCATTTGTAAGAGAGACACCGAACGCTAAAAAAAAACTGAATGGCAACGCTTTCTTCAAAATACTAAAAAATTCCTTGAGTGGCAAATTCCCCAATTTATTACACACTATTAAATTAACACTGCACATTTTGCATTTAACCGAAGTGTTTTTCATGAGAAGCAATACTGAAGGCGACATTAAACATTGTGCTTAAATATTCAGATTGATATAGGGTCAACAGTTTCTTCCAATGATAAATTCTACGACAGATTTAGCTAGTTTATTAAACTACCGTTGATAGATACAAAAACAGTGATTGCTCTAATTATTTTACCGCCCAGTGCATATCAACTAACTGCAGGAGCAAACGTAGATTATGGAAATCAGGAGTATCAGCTGACTGCGGAGGTAGATGCGACGCGATGTCGATTATGCAAAAGGAATATCCAAACTTCAATTCAGTCATTGTGGCCCTATCCGGCATATAAACCAATTGCATGGGATAAATATTACGTAATCGAACAAACTACAGAACGTGAGTGAATTTAGCTTCCACTTCACTGTGCGATTGGTTCAGCTTTCCGGTTACCGGTAACCTGTATGATGTGCTCGAATCTCGTTCTCTTCGTGAACCGATCATAAAAAAGCAATTCATTGAGCATGGGTTTGATGGAATCATTGTGATCAAGATTTGTTGTTGTGGATTAGTGAGCAATCAATTTTGAACATTTCTTTAATAAAATTCATAAGCAGCAATCGACACTCCATTAGAGGCTATCATGAGTTGAGATATCTACTTGATTGCGATTACAGCAAAGTCGTCGTTGACGAGTGGAATTGCGGCCGGCATTACGATTGGTGTTTTTGTGACCATTTTCTTGGTGACGTTCGGTTGTCGAATATACAACATGAGAATGGAACGATTGCAAGGGACTCACCGTTCAGGTATAAATCCATTATCGCGATCAGCGCACAAACACCACTAATTTCGATTGGTTCAGGTGTATTTTTTTGCACAGAAGAAAGTTGAATGCATAAATGAACATCGCTCATTGCTTTAGAACACAAATTCATGATCATAAGAAGGACAGTGTCAATTATGAGAAAATCTTGATGGTTTTGAAAACTAGAAATAACTATTGTGGAGTCAGTGCTGATTCAATTGCGATTATAAAACTTTTTTTGAATGACTCGAAAATGTAGATCAATAGATGACTGAACAAATGAGTTTGAAAGTTCAAGGTTATCACACCGTCAAAATGCTGATCAACGATAAGAATTCTTTTTCGATTTGCGTCTTATTCACCTTCGATTTATCAGATGTTTTCAACGGTAATTTCCTCATGCTACCTTGGCATTTTTCATAAACAAATTCCGTTGGGTACTTCTCAGGTGCTTGAAATATCGTTTCATGTATAGCACTGAAAGCGTAACGCAATTCCATTGCAGGTTTACGGAATACGTCGTTGACGGGCGCTGAGAATTTTTCTGCGGATTTCTGGATTTGTGGTATACCAAGAGAACCACCACCTCCCTACGAAGTGGCCATACACTTGCCAAAGTGTGCTCTGCCTTTGTCGTCATCACCGTCAGCACCATCTGAATCGCAATCACCTCAGCAATCACCCCTCGACGCTTCAATCACCCCACGACCAACCTTACCGACCATTGCTACTATCAGCTAGTATCTTCAACACTCTCGCTCTACAAGGTTGCTCAAAATGTGCATATTGTTATCATCTAATCATTCAGAAGTTTTATTGTGTTGTGGTCAAGCAGTGATAAACAGATTTATTTGTTTTGTAAGAGGTCAAACTCGAAATTTTACATTCCTTGAGTGAACTCAGCTGCTAATTGATCATCAAGCTCTAATGTATCCACTTCACTGCCTCTTCAAGTCTTTAAATACATGGATAATGTTTCTCACTGCAGTGTTCTTGGGTCGAAATGCTGTGAAATTATCGTCAACACGTTCTCATATGCACTCATGTTTCCAGTCTTCAATTGTCTTTCATTCCGTGAATTGATTTAAGAATTTGTCAATACTTTGAGCTATTAACGCATGTCGGAGTGTCGTTTTGATCAGCACATTGTGGCCATCAAAAAGACGTGCTACAACTGAACTTCGCTTTCCTCATGAATCTTATGTCTTAATTCTTTTATAAGCCTCTTTGATAAGCCTCATGAAGTGCTTCTTACATTATGTCATACATTCGAAGACATCTTCGTTTATTTGCAGTTGCTTTGCTGATGAAAACGTTGTATGGTATGGTCCTATTGTGAATTTCGTTTGATTACTCTAATTCAGAAAGTAGGCAAATAAAAACGTCAAGAATTCCTCTCTTGTGAAACCATTTTACGACCCATTCTCAATGATAAATCAACGGAATGAAATGTCTCGATTTTGGTCCTTAAGTATGAAATTGTCCGACTTTTCGGCAACTTTCTAGCCAAATTCATTGTAGTTTACTTGTTTTCTTTTTTCTGACAACGAGATATTGTTTATCACATTTCATATTGACCTGAGTTTCCGAAATCTCCAACAAACAATGCTACCTCTTATCTTCTATTGAAGAATGGTTGTGATGAGACCCAAACAGAACGTTTATTAAGCAAAAATAACGAAAGAAAACACACAGAAACGAAAATGATACAACCTGAAAATATGATTTTTGGCACACTTGCGAACAAATTTATGCAACATACCATTTGAAAATATGAAATCAATCATTCATGAATAATAATGGGCAAAACGGTAACTTAGCTTAGAACAATCAAGAGGTTCACTTGAAACAGAATCAAAGATTCAAAAAGTGCCTTCAAAAAATTTCGTATCCAAAGAAAATCCTCATTCCACTGCCTCTATATGCTTCATGAATTCATTTTCACGCATAAAACAATTAAAACGTATATTAACAAGGATGGTCATATCAAAAGATGAATAAAAAAATATCAGAGGTCCTGATGGTGATAATATCATTCGAGATGTTCGCCTTTTCGGAGTTCATGTGAAAGGAACCCTGACTTTGGCCATGGCTCTCTTCGTCCACTTCAACTTACTTTCCGTGTACGGTGGATAGCGCATCCTAAAACAAAAAAAAACTGCTTTACTATTATTAAAGGAATTTGCTTCTGTTATGCTCTATCTTCTATGTAAACTGAGATTGGACATTTTGGCGTCAGCCATTCTAGACGTTTCGATGTGGCAATATTTCGATCATTTCACTAGAAAATGAGACAAGTTGCTCCAGTTGATTGACATCTTTGGGAATTTCTAAAGGTGAAATTGGTAATTTGGATTACCGACGCCAAAACACCGAACATTTTTTGAACGGTTTGTTCCGTGTAAGTGATTTGGAAGCCATAATTAATAGTTGCTACAACAATGACAATTATGAGTTCAGTTGAATTACAAACACATTTTTAGGAGATAATAAGCGGAAAATGTTTTGGTTACAAAAAGTCAACAAGAATCAAGCATTGACCGTAGAGAATACTTGTGAAGCGTTGGTATACACAACAAATGAGAGTACGAAAAGTTTTTCTGCGTTGAAATTAGAGTAAGATGCGGAATTTATTAATGGGTAGCATTATTTCTAGTGTTTATTGTTTATGGGCTAGTGAGCGAAAATTTGAAGCAAGTCGGCCAGATAGGGATTTAGAAAATACTAACGGGAGATCATTTATAGCGAGTGGACAACTGAAAGGAATTCTTTTATTATAACTGAAGAGGGAATAATGGTGAATAATAATTGTACTGAATGTTGTGTTTTTTTGACAGCTGTCATTCACGATGAGTGCTTACAAGGGAATTTAATGGAGTGATGCACTTTGAGAACTAATTCAGCTTAATGACCATCAGTATGCTTTTAGACTATCAACTCTCTTATGAACTGTTCACACTGTTGAGGTTTTTCACTGTTCACTATTTCCAACTCCATTTTCGCTATCATTTTAGCGTGATATCTTCGAGGTAATTCAGCTTATTCAAGAGCACTACAAACTGTATTGCTCATAACTCGAACCAGAGCCAGACAAACATCAGATGTTTCGTTTCCAAACGTCCCCATACGAATTTGCTATGAGACTCATCATTAAAATCATCAATCTCAAATGCATTCTAAAACATACCATAACAATTGTTCCAATCCCATTGAACGATGTAAAACGCCTTTCTCATGAGTGAACGTATCGAATGAATATTTTCCATGA